TGCGTCCGTTGTTAAAGTCTCCGTTTTTGAGCTCTCTTGCCTCCATGAATTTACAAGAGCTTTTATCCTTATCCTCAAGAAGGTGCAGCAAGTTTTAGACACCTTGTACGCTATGAAGGTTTCCCTTGGAGTACAACCTTCGCAACCATTTCAAATCCAGGTTCTTGAATCTTTGATTTTTTTGGATTTCATGACAAAAAGTGCCAAGAATTTGTGGGGGAGTCCACCAAGACATCGACATTTGTTACGTTCCAGAGTGTCAACCATTTCACCCGTGGCGGAGCTAGAAAAATTGGGAAGCTAGTTCCAAAAATCAGCTAACCATAGAGGAAACTAGTGCCAAAACTAGCAGCTATGAAGGAAGCAAACTATTTACAGTCACCTAAGATAAAAAAAAGCTTCTGATTTTGGAAACCAGCCAGTGCTAAGGCACTTGCTGCAAGTTCCAATGTGGCTACGCCATTGCATTTCACTTGGGACCCAAAAGGTTTGCTTGTCTTTTCATCTTCCCCATTATTGGACCTTGAGGACGAGGGCCCTTTCATAGAGGTGGGTAATGTTACGGAATGTGCATGCAGTTATGGAGTAATGCGTCTATTGTAGGTAGTTGCTTGGTTAAGGGTGTTGGATAGAAGTTAGTTTAGCTGCTGAGCTGGATAGTAGGCTCTGTTGCAATCTGTTAGGAGGTTACGCTCTAGCGGTTACATTCCAGTTGTATCTATGGTGTAGTAGGTAGGTTGTATATAACTATGTTCTACGTGAAGTTTGTTATCAAATGAATAATAGACTCAGGTTTCCTTCTTTTCTATCGTTCCCATATATAGAGCATGCTCTAACATCCTCCCACTTATATTGACTTTGCTTAGTCTATGACTAATCAATATAGGATTTCATCACCATTGAATATCCCAACAAATAGGAGGCTAGGTATAATAATGTATTTACTAATGTAGCACAAGATGACTTGTTGGGCTCGAACTCTTAGGCTTTGTTTGAGAGTTTGTTTTAGGAAGGGAAGGAAAGGAAAGTGAGGGTTTTAGTAAGTTCTTCCCTTGTTTGTAAGTTTAAAAAAATGAGGGGAAGAAATTGAGAATTTTTACTAAACCCTCCAAAATTCTCCTTCTCCTTAATATTAAAGTTCCCCCAATTTGGGGGGTTTAAAGGAGGAAATATTAAAAATTACTTATCTACCCTTAACATTAAAATGTGAAAACTACATAAATGTGAATCATTTTTAAATGTAACATTATTAGAAAAGTCTCAAATACTGACAGAATTTATCGACAAAAAATATTTCGTCAAAAATAGTGATGAAATTTTTGATGAAAATCATATACGTCAAAAAATTTTCGTCAAAACTAAAGACGAAATTAGAGACGGAAGCAGATTTTGCTATAATCACTGACATAAATTTTTTACGGAAATTTTTTTTGTCAAAATCATTGATAGAATCTAAATTTCATCAAAACTTTCAACGAAAATATTTCCGTCCAAAATTTTGACGAAACATCGAAAAGTTTCGACTTAAAACAATTACGTCAAACTTTTTTACAGCAAAACATTTCCATCAAAATTTGTGACTGAAACCATTATTGTAAAAAAATTTGACGGAAAATTTTTTTTGTCAAAATTCTTTACGGAATCAAAATTTTGTCAAAACATTTGCCTAAAAATATTTCACAAAAAAACATATTCATCGAAATTTGTGACGAAAAATATTTCCTTCAAAATTTTCAACGAAACACATTTTCATCGAAAAAATTTTACGGAAAAAAATTTCATCAAAATTCTTTACATAATTTAAATTTCGTTGAAAGTTTTCGACGAAAATATTTTCGTTAACTTTTTGACAAAAAATATTTCTGTCAAAATTTTTAACGAAACATATTTCCATCGAAAATTTTCGATGGAAAATATTTCTGTCAAGTTTTTTAATAAAAAATATTTTGATAAAATTTTTCAACAGAACTCATTTTTTTTAGTCGATAGAAAATTTTTTCATTAAAATATTTGACGAAAAATATTTTGATTGACGGAAAAATATTCTGTCAAAATTCTTTACAGAATCTAAATCTCGTCAAAAGTTTCGAATGAAACATTTTCCTCAAATTTTTTGACAAAACAATTTATGTCAAAATTTTGTTAGAACATATATCCATCGAAATTTTGAACGAAAAATATTCCGTCAAAAGTTTTGACGAAATTCTTTTTTCGATTAAAACATTTGATGGAGGAAATCATTTTCCTCAAAACCTTTGACGGAAATTAAATTTCGATAGAAAATTTATTTTTGTAAAAAATTTTATCGGAGAAAAAATTCTGTCGCTTTTTGACGAAAAGTATTCCGACGAAAAAATAATTTTGTGATAAAATTTTCGTCGTTTGCAACATAGAATTTCATCGAAAATATGATCTTTTTTAGTTTTGTGAAAAGTACATAAATAATTTTGTTATAAATTTTAAATTTAATTTAATTTGTAAAATATAATAATTATATTGATTTTAAAAAAAAATGGTAAAAATATCTTATTAACCCTCCATTTTTCTCTCTTATCTTTTTTTAACTCCCAAACAAGAAAAGGGAATACCCTTCACTTTTCTTCCTTTCCTTCCCCTCCCTCTCCCTTGGATCCCCTTCTTTCCCTTCCCCTCCAAACTCTCAAACAAAGCCTTAGTATATTCTATCGTACCAAGAGTACACATTACGTTCAATGAGTAGACATGGGCTAGGGATGGAGAGCTAGTAAGTAATTTGTTGTAATAATAATTACATTATTTAATAAACGATATCATTAACATGACTAACAATAATGTTTCCCCAAATAGGTTGATAGCATGAAAATAACGACTTTCATAGTATATGATGAAAATGTGGATATGCCTCCAATCTCACATTGTCATGAGGTACAACATGAGATTCGAGACATGGTCAATGTGTGGCGACAGGTCGATAGCACGCAGAAAATTCAAAGTCCAGTCATTAATATTGGCATCCCTTGTTGTGGGAGAGTTAAGGGATCTGCACGCAGACTTTCGTGTCTTCGGCAGCACTTTGAGCATCGATCATGAGATGACTTTGCCCGAGGTTTTTCGTCAAGCGACTTGGACTCCCTCAATGTCCCTTACACGAACCTAAGAAGAGATATGAGCAAGGGTTGACAACACATGTGGACCAAGATCAGCATCTAAATCTCCCTCAATGTTAGTATCAGGCTCAGGAATTTGACCTTCGCCCGCCTTTACCATCATCATTGCTATCATTCTCTAAGTAACATCTTCGTCTTCTTCTATGTCAACTTCTTTCCCATAAATCTGATGGTGATTTGTCGCAGCTACGGAAAATGAGCCTTATATGTCTTCAATGACAAAAAAAATTATTGAATATTCATATCTAATTATTGAATGGGTTATGAAGAGATGCCAATCAAGTCGATGTCGACGTACAGTTCAAGCACCATCATATGAAACTGTTATTCAAATACATTGTTCATGCACTCAACTTTTTCATCCCCTACAACTAAATATACCATCCTCTATATTTAATCTACAGGTCACACAAGAAATAATTTGGTTTTCTTTTTATGAGATATTTCAATCGATTCTCACTTCGCGACTGGTCCGATTTAGGGTGGGTCTCGAGATTAAAGTTTTAAACCCTTTCTCACAAAAATAGTACTGGAAGGATCGAATAGATATAGCTTGTGTAGCGTTTTATGTGTACTTCTTTTTCCATCGAATAACATTCCTTCTTAACTTTCAGGGGGTGTTTGGTTGGGGGAGAGTTTTGAGATAGATGAAGTACTGAAAAGTGGGAATATGTAGTAACCATGTTTGGTTGAGCCATCTTCTTCACTTACCAGCCTAAATAACTTATCTACCAAACCAAGTTGCCTACCTTTTATCATGAATATAGCCGGCGAAATTTGTCCTTTGAGCATATGGTATTTGTGAAAAGCAACCAATCTTTGGAGATAGGCTTTTGACCAAAAGACTTGGATAACCTCTCTTAAGTGGGTATTTGACAGCATTGTAAAGTGGCAGGCCACCGAACAAAATATTTACAAACAGGGTTATTTTCGTAAAGTTACCTAATTTTCTCATCTATATTTTACCTACAACCAAACATAAATTTCATAAAAGTTACCTAATTTCCCAGGTAAAATTTTTCCCAACCAAACAACTTTTTTTTACATTTTTCTACCTATCTCACTTTCCAACTATTTCTCTATATATTAGATTTCCCTATTATTCATAAACTTTCTTTCAACCAAACGCCCCCTCAAATTTTCTACATTGTTTTAGACAAGCACAACAAATGAACTTATTTGAAGGAGGAAAAAAATAGAAGTTGTGAGCGAAGAGAGGAAAGTGAAATTGAAGGGTAAGAGATATAGTGAATCGGTTATTTTTTAAAATAACTGGCTAAACGAAATTACGAGTTTACCATGAATGAGTTGCACCACGTGTGAAACGACATACCAAAATACAAAAATGAGTATTTTGTTTTCAAACTACACTTAATCCCAAATTTATTTATTTATTTATTTATTTTTTGGTAAAGATATTTTAATTTTTTTCATTTGCACTTGAATTGTCAAAAGGCGGAATGGTAGCTCTGCTCTTACTGAGAAGCGGAGATCGACATTTATTTTTATTTTATTGTGTTCATAATCAACTTGAAAAGTATATTATTTATTATTTTCATATTGCACATAAAAATATTATTTAGTTATTACAAGTTACAACTTGAAATTCTTAATTTTTATTCTTTCATTTATTAAGCGGAGACATTTTATTTTATTGTGTTCATAATCAACTTGAAAAGTGTATATTATTTATTATTTTCATTTTGCACGTAAAAATACTATTTAGTTATTACAAGTTACAACCTTGAAATTCTTAATTTTTATTCTTTAATTTATTTACATAGGTCCAACAACATCCCGTCCCCCTATATATTAAGACAGCTCTGCCTAAACTTAAACGAAAGATTAAGACCAATGGGAGCCATCCGAGTCATCTCCACCAATAGAATTCAGGCACCGAGTCACAATAATGGTGACACAACTCAGATACTCAATTTAACACCATGGGATCTCCAGCTCCTCCACGTTGAAACCATCCAAAAAGGGCTTCTTTTTCACAATCCCAACAACACACAAGACACACAAATCCAAATCCAGAACCTCAAACACTCACTTTCCTCCACTCTTGCATTCTTTCCACTCCTCACAGGCCGTCTCATCATTACAGAACACAAAGATAACACTGCCTCCGCTTATATCGCGTGCAACAACGTTGGTGCACTTTTTGTCCATGCCACAGCAGAGAAAACCAGTGTTGCTGACATTCTTAAACCCAACTATGTTCCTCCCATTGTCCACTCCTTCTTTCAACTCAATGAAATGAAAAACAATGAGGGCACATCACAGCCATTGCTAGCAGTGCAAGTCACTGAGCTAGTTGACGGCATCTTCATGGCCTGCACAATCAATCACCTGGTAGCTGACGGCAAGTCGTTTTGGCATTTCATAAATTCTTGGGCTGAAATCTCACGTGGTTCCCATAATGTATCCAAACTCCCCCAACTTGATCGTTGCTTTAACAGTCCCATACGATTTCCTTTCACAAAGCAGGAAGAGAAGCAAAACCCTGAAAACTTCAAACGACAAGCACCACCGGTTCGGATATTCCATTTCACAAAGGAGAAAATAGCGCAACTCAAATCAAAAGCTAATGCAGAGGCCAGAACAGACAAAATATCTTCTCTGCAAGCGCTATTAACTCACCTTTGGCGCTTTGTGATCCGTTGCCAACGTCGTGACCCACAAGAAGAGATTCATTATGACGTGGTGATAAGCGCTAGAATAAGGATGGTTCCACCAATGCCAGAGGATTATTTTGGAAATGCATCGGTGGTTGGTCGTGTCACCATGAAAGCAGGGGAACTGCTTGAGGGTGGGCTCGCTAAGGGTGCTTGGGAAATAAACAAGATGATAGCTTCGTACTCTGAGGAGAAGGTGAAGAGCCAATGTGAGTCTTGGGTTAAAAACCCAAGGTTTATTGTTAGCGTGGGCAGTAGTAATCGCTTGATCACTGCAAGTTCCCCAAGGTTCAATGTTTATAGTAATGATTTTGGTTCGGGAATTCCTGTGGCAGTGAGAAGTGGTAGTGCAAATCAAAAATACGGGAATATTACTGTGATTGGTGGGGCAGAAAGAGGTAGTGTTGACATTGAAGCGTGCCTTCCTTATGAGATTTTGGAGGCAATGGGAAATGACCCTGAGTTCATGAATGCCACTTCCAAATTATAAATATGGATTAACGTAAAACCTATCCGTGGGTATGTATTGCTTGATGAATAATAATATGTCAGTCTGTGATGTTTTGTTTTAGCTATGTTATTGCCCAAAGTTTGATGTTCGGTTTCTGTGAGGAAAGGGATAGTAGAAACATAAATCATAAAAACAACATAAAAAGTCAAGATTTAACTACTTAATATCAAGATACAAAATTATATATAATCCAAACAACCAAACCGAAATCAATCGCCCTGTAACTCTCGCAACTAATTTATTTATTATAATGCTTTCTTCCTAATCATATATTAACAACAATTCCCAGCAAAATTAAAAAAAGAAGAAAGCAAAAAGCAAAAAAAGTGCTACCCCATTGCAATGCAACTTAAAAAAAAAAAAAAAAAAATCAAAACTAGCCAACCTAGAAGAATTTGCGATTCAAATAAGCAAATGACAACTCGAATCGTGCCATCCCATGAGTTAAAAAAAATAGCGTAGTTATAAAAGCAATCAAGCCCTGAAGTTAAGTCTTTCATTGTAAGACACTCCAAACAAAGTGTAAAAAAGGTCGACCAATAAGTTTTACACATTCACGACTAAAGTGCACAAAGGTTAATCATTTGATAGATTGATTCAAAACTCACTTTCCTCCTCTTCTTTCTTTGCAACTGTGGCCTCGCACCACAATGCAAGAGTTTTTTTTTTTTTTAAATAGCTAGAAGAAGATAGCACACCCAAAGTCATTGTGCTTTCCGGGAAAAATGTGAAATAAGGTGTTTTTCTTAAAAATAAAATAGAATCGAGTTATGGGTTAAAAGTTGATCCCATTTAGTTTTTTGTTTAAGTAAAAATATAAAAATTGTATTTCTATCATTTTTACTCGTCATTTTATCTGTTTTTACTGAAAAGCATTTTGCTTGCATTTTAATACATTTCACTTCAATAAAGTCGTAAAAACGCAAATTTTTACGTTTTTACACTAATTTTTAACAACACTGTTATAAATTACTGAAAATGTTAAATATTTCATTCCCAGGTTTTGCTCTTTGTTCATTAAGGATAATTATACTATGTGATTATTAAATAAAGAAAAAAGTTCATAAACGTCATGTGGTTTACTTTTTCATCACTTGTACTCCTATGCTTTTTTTCTTATCAATTATAACCTGAGGTTAAATTCCATCTAAGTCCATATTTAACATCGTTAGTAATTAAACTAACTTGCCCATTTTACCTCTGCTTTACTTGTTAATTAATCTAACGTAAAAATTTTGGACACCAATAGTAAATAAGTGAAGTTTAGTTTCATTATAAAGACATGAAGAATAATCATGTGTCTTCTTCCTTTCAAAGATTTTACAGAAAGGCAGAATATCTCTAAAAAAATCACGAAAAATGTTAACATTCGAAATTTTGATTTTAATCACTTTTAATCAAAGGTATCTTTTTTCTTTTGTTATTCTTGAACCAATCCCTCGTTGTTTGGCAAGCAGGTACCATTTTTTTCTTTTTTGTTATCATAATAATATTATTTACACGTCACTTATATTATTTTCTTATAATTTTATACTACATTTTTAGGTAATAATATATATATATATATATATATATATATATATATATATTCAACATTTTTTCTATTTTTGAATATTAAAAAGTGTAAAAAAATCATATAAAAAATATGGTGTACATGAATCGTTTCTCAGAATATAATATTAATATTGAATTATATAGATAAGAGGAGAAAAAAAAAAAAGAAGCCTTAATTTTCATATTGATGTTGGGGCCAATATACTCTCGATGACTCTCTTTTTTTGGATAATGTGATTTCCTTCATTTTGTTAAATCTAGCTATAAATTGCCTCCTATGAAACTTTTCTAGGCCCCCCCTCCAAACAATTATTGTGCTCCCATCTCTTACGTACGTTTTGTTTTTTCTAGTCATAATTAAATAGATTTTGTCACCGTTTTTATTTTTATGGTGATTGTTTTATTTTTGATAAACAAAACTCCAAAATAAAAATAAGCCTAAAATGGACAAATTAATTTAATTACTTATAGTGTTAAAAGTGAACTTGAATGAAAAAAATCATAGGAAAATAATTGATAAGAAAAAAGTATAAGGGTGTAAATATAAAAGAGTAAAGTCAGTAAACCACATGCGGGATTTATGAACTTTTCCCTTAAATAAATGCATTTTCAATTGAAAACGAAAATTCTTTATATATACCACACTATAAACCAGCAGAAATGGACTGAGTCGATGTTTAACGTAAAAGATGATGCCCAAGCTTTTGAACTCCTCAATCTGTATTCAAAACAAATATAACACAAAAATATATTATTAAGGTAACAAGGATAATATGCGTTGACACTAATAATGTATAGATACAAATAATATATATTACTTAACAAAATTAATATAAAATGAAACCCGAGACTTTAAGGTTGATTCCAACGGTGTACAAACAAATTATAAATAAATAAAGGGAAAAATTCAAAAAAAAACCTACAAGTTTTTTCAAAATCACTTAACTCCCTCCCCGAAATTTTTAATCATTTACCTCCTTACTTAAATTTTTTTTATCACTTACCCCCTTAATTTGATTTTCTATCTAAAATTTTGTTAACAGAGTTAAATTTTTTAAAAGGTACCAAAATTACCCTTAATAAAAAAAGAAAAACGTAATTTTCCTACAAACGCAATTTTAGACAAACTCCCGTAAGTAAGATATGAATGTAAATCAATGGTTGAATCCTTCCTCTACTCTCAACGACATAGAAAACAGCGAAATAGCACCTTCTGCATGTTTGCTTGGTAATATCATATGATTAAGGGAAAAACAAGGCATATATGAAGCACAGAACGTAAAGCTTTTCAATTGTTGTGCAAGTAAAATAAAGTGTGGCTCTGAATAAATTTATAAAGTCGGATTTATTGGTCATATAATAGCAGAAAAGCTTATAACAGAAAAGGAAACCTGCTGAGATGATGTCTCTTTAATCATTTTATTTGAACAACGGCACCAACAATTGTGAGTGCGGTGTTTAATAGTAATGAAATTTGCAAGAAACAATTTTAATAATTACTAATTCTAACAAGGCTACCTTAAAGAAAACATTTCGTGAGTTCGTCTAAAATTGAGTTTGTGAGGAAATTATGTTTTTCTTTTTTCTATTAAGGGTAATTTTGGTACTTTTCAAAAAATCTAACTCTGTTAACAAAATTTTGGGTGGAAAATTAAATTAGGGGGTAAGTGATAAAGAAATTTTAAGTAGGGGATAAATGATTAAAAATTTCTGCGAGAAGTAAGTGATTTTGAGAAAATTTGTAGAGAGATTTTTGAAGTTTTCCCATAAATAAAATTAAGGAATTTCGCATCAACTAAGTACAAAACCAATTTAAAATATTTACTTGTATGTGTTGGAATAATAGACAAAAGCGTTGAAATAATAGATAGAAAAAAAATAAAAGAGAGATGTCGAAATATTTAAAATATTTATTTAATACAATGTGAAAAGGAGAAAGTAAACGATGAGGGTGGAGCAAAATAAGCGGGAGAGAAAAGCATGTCATGACTATGGCATATTATATATATTATTTCGCAACTTATAACACCTTACTTAGATTTGTTCTTTATCCACATGTTATATGATCATGTCACGCAAATGAAAGAAGTTCTTTTGAACAAACAGTTTTTATCATATTACTGTGTCAATGTTCAACGGAAAAGATGTCGAAGCTTTTGAACTCTTCAATGTGGAATCAAATCAAAATATAATGCACATTATTAAACATCTAGGAAATATATGATATCTCCGTGTACACACATATAATATATATATATATATATATATATATATATATATATATATATATATATATATATATATATATATAGGTAGGATCCTTTGACACCGGTGTCAAACTTCAAGTTTGACACCGGTGTCAAAGGATCCTACCTCTATAAATAAGAGTTATGTTGTAGGAAAAGTGATGTGTAATGTTATAGAGATTTGTTTTGCGTGTCTTAATTTTTTTATTTTTTTTGCTTTAGAAAGTGTGAGCTCCATAAAATGTTGTGTGTGTAGGAAAGTTGTTGGTGTCATGTGACATGATAGATGTAAACCCCTATATATATATATATATATATATTGATTAAAAAAATATGGTGTGAACTGATACCGTGGCCTAGTGGACAAATTTTTAAGCCACCCCGGCCACTACAATGTATATTGACACCTACCTCATAATCTTTTAGCATGTATGGGTCTTTACCCGACTGAGTTTTCTTCAAAAAATTTTGCATATATTGACACCTACCTGTTTCATTATGATAGCGCCTCACATGTATCAACGAAGCTATATGACTTGAATATAAATATATTAGTTATTTGTTAATAATTATAATTTAATTTAATGATTAATTTTTTTTTCTATTTGCTCGAAAAATTATATATAATAAAAAAGTTGTTATCATACTTTTACAAGTTATTTTTAAAATAATTTAAATAATTTTTTTGAAATGATGATAAAAAAAAGGCATATAAATAAAATAATTATTTAGTACTATGATGGTAAAGGGGGTGAAATGGAGGAGTGATAAAATTGTTCATTTATAATTGAAAGGTTATAGGTTCGAATTCAGAAAACAGCATCTTTACAATTATGTAAAGGTACGGCTGTGTACAAGGAGTGATTTTTTTTGTTTTACTTTGATGTTAAGATTTTCAACAAACAAACGTTTTCCGATGTTATTATTATAAGTTGTTCTAAAAACAAAAACATCTTGTAGTCGTTTACTAAAAATAAAAAGATAAATTTCAAAAAAAAAAATATAAACACTTTGTTAATATACTTCTGAATAAAATATTTTATTTATAAATAAATTTATGTCATTTCTCTCTAATTTCAATACCAATGGTAGATATAAGATATGGTTATCGGTTGATAACAATAAAAGGAGAAATGACTTGATCAAGAGAAAAAAAATATCAACATGTTTGAAGAATGA